CGGGCTTCATTAGCAAGTGCGGTATGCATACATTACCCCGCTAGTTCGAACTAGCGGGGTAGTGTAGACATACCCTGAGTGCTTAGGCACCCGCCCAGCTGATTAGCACAGCACCCAGGCAAGCCCCCTTGCCTTCGAATAGGACACTGCACCTTCCAGGGAAGCTGGCACCAGGCCGGCAAGCCACATTCTGGGCTCCAGTACGTTTGCTGAGGCCCCACCGTCTCCCACTGACAGACATTAAGGTCTCCCCAAGATTGGGGCCCGACTTTCCCCTTTTTCCCCCTTCTCACCAGCCCCAGCTGGCGTCACCACAGAGCTGAGGGATGGGAAGCAGGGAGGTGCGAGGGGGAGTAGGTGGCCTGACCTTCTGTGGGGATCTTGTCAAGGTCGGAGCTGAGAGCACCCTCGCCTGGTGTCGCCGGCTTCTCGGTGTCCCCGGGATCTGGAGAACCTTTCGGCTCCTCTGCCCCTGGGAGAGCAAAGCACACAGGGCCATGACCAGTGTTCCCTGTAAACTGAGCCAGCTGATTAGCACAGCACCCACAGCGGAGCCTGTGTTTCTACTGGTGGTGCACGTCCACACATGCCTCAGTGCGCGAAACAACATTTACTCCACACGTGGATGGAAAAAATTAAAGGGAACATTGTCCAGGATCCCCATCCCCAGCCGGCAGGGCTAAGTGTGTAGGGGCGTGACCCCCCCCACCCGGCGTGCACCCCCCCACTCCCACCCAGCAGGGCTGTGGGTTGATCCTCCCAGGGGCTAGGAGCCCTTCCCTGCAATTGTAGGAACTGAGGGGATGTTCTAGGCAACAGCTCTATGGTTCCAAAGATTCGCTCTAGGACTCCAAACCATAGAGACTCCAAATCCTCCAGGACCAACCAGAAAGGTGCCATAGAGTTGTAGCTAGAGTGGCACAGCTCCATGGCCGGGACTACTGGGGGGGACACTCTAGGCAGCATCTCAATGGTCAGGGCAGCCGGTCAACAAGATGGGGAATGAGAACATGCATATTCAAAGGAGAGGGCCACTTCATTTGCATAGCCTCTCCAGCTCTCCGTGCCAGCCTGCCATAGTGCAGAACCCGGCCCCGCAGGGCCACTCTGCAGCCCCGGATGCCACCCCACCCCTCAGCTCTCAGGGGCCAGGAGAACTCTGTGGGCCAGCCCAGCAGAAGGCGCTCACCTGGGTCCTCAGCCTTTGCCTCTGCCCCTTTCAGGTCCTCCTCTTGGGCGCCCAGGGTGCTGCTGTCCATGCTGTCGTCCCCTGGGGAGTCAACGGAGGGGAACATCGAGCCAGCCCATGGCACCTCCCTCCCGGACACCAATCCCAGCCTCCTGGCACCACCCATCCCATACAATCCAAGTGCCCATGCCCAGCCCCTCAGACCCCTCCCCACCAGGCCAAATCCCAACAACAAGCCACGCACCTTGCCAACCTCCACCCAGAAGCCAAGGGCATCTCTATAGATCCTTTACCTTTCGGATGAGTGGGAGTCTCCTTCCCTTCTCCAGGTGCCTTCTGCAGTGCGCCAGGCACACCAGGGTCCACCCTGGGTCTGGGAGCCCCCTGGCCAAAGGGCGGGCAAGCTGCTCCATCTCCCACACCCCCTGCAGCCAGCAGGGCCTTCCGGCTCAGGTCCATGAGTGCCTTCCCGAAGAAAGCTTCCTGCCGAAGGAGTGGGGAGGGGACAGAAGGGGGCGGGAGGAGACGGGGGACAGGACACCCACCCTGCGAGGAGCCAGGCCCCCTCCGCAGCTCTCTGTCCAAAACTCCCCCATCATCCCATACCCCTCGGCCCCCAGCAGCTGGGACACAGCCCTGTCCCCGCCACAGCCTGGCTTACCTGGAGGTAGGCTGGGAACATATCCTCCAACTTGCTCTTCTTCCTGCCTCGGCGTTTCTTCTTCTCGTCCCCCTCCGTGGCACCCTGCTCCATCGCGCCTTCCACGGGGATTTCTGCTGGTGGACCTGTGAACAGCAGCTGCTGTTACTTCTGCCCTCCTGGGGGGGAGCAGACGAGCCCAGAGACCTGGGGCCTTCCTGAAAGGAGCCAAGCCTCCATTGCCTCCCCCACACAAGCAATGGTGCAGCCCCACCTCCCTGCACAAGAGTCCCAGAGCTAAGGGGGGAAGGGTTGTGCTCTGTCCCAGCCGCAACACAGAGGTTAATGCCAAAGAGCCAGGCACTGCCTGGGCACACACGGCTCCTACCGTCCTCCGGGTGCCCCTCGGCGCTCAGCACCTCGCGACACGCCTCCACCAGCGCCACTGAGCCCTTCTTCGGGCGGGTATGGGACTTGCGCTGCCGCACCATGAACCCCCCGATACCTGTGGGAGGCAGAGCAGAGTGAGAGGAGTTACAGGGGAGGCTTCGCCCCACAGAACCAGGCTGCCGGAACCAGCACCCCTCGCTTCCCGCTCTGATGGGCTGGATCCGTCTGGACGGCTCAGTGGCGGAGGCCCAGAGGGGCCCAGCTGATTCGCGAGCAGGCGCAGGAGCACTCACCAGGGCGGTAGGGCTTCCGCTTCCTCTTCTTGCATTCCTCCAAATCCTCCAGGCCTTTCCCCGAGTCCACGTCGGCGCCCCCATCCCGGTCCGGGCTGGCAGCAGCTTCCAGCTTGATCTCACACTCCATGTGCTCTACGCCCACTGTGCACCGGAGGGGACACGTTAGAGCAGGACACCCCCCACAACCCTCAGCCCCACTACGGCAGAGGGAAAAAGTCAACGGACAATCCAGACCCCCTGAACTCCACCCCCCCAACCCACACCCGGCCCCACACATTGCAAGCCCCTTCTCCCCACACCACCGACCCTGGAGGAGCTGGTTCTGCCTGTCAGTGACAGAGGGGCCCCCAGGGTACCCCTCTCTCTGGTGCATCCACCCTGTCAGGGCCCCCCAAAAGCCAGCAGCCACCCAGCTGGGCACAGCAACCAGCTTCCCTCCACCCCCGCCCCACGCCCCCACGCAGCTCTGCCAAAGGGCCAACCTTTAAAGCAGGGGTGGGGGACCTCAGGCCCATGGGCTGGATGTGTCCCCGGCTTGCCTGGGTCCGGCCCCCAAAGCTCAGGGCTCCCTTCAGCACAGGGGGGTCCGTGCAGGTGCTCCAGTCCCCCTGCTGCTCACCCGCGGGGCTGGAGCCACAAGACCCACTAGCCTAGGCCGCTCTTGGCTCTGGTGGGGGAGGGGAACGTGGGGCCCCTCTCCTCAGTCGGGGGCCACAGCTGGGAGGGTTCGGGGGGTTTTCTTTTTGCTTCTCACTTGTGTGCAGTCGTCAACTGATTTTTCTGTCAGTTAGCAGCCCCTGACCCAAAAAACATTCCTCGCCCCGATATAAATTAACAAGGTGAAACTGGACAGGGTCCAGAGGAGCACAACACACATGATGAAAGGCCTAGAAAACATGAGCTATGAGGGAAGACTGAAGGAATTTGGTTTGTTTAGTTTGGAAAAGTGAAGACTGAAAGGGGACACAATAGTTTTCAAGCACCTACAATGGTGTTACGAGGAGGAGGGAGGAAAATTGTTCTCCTTGGCCTCTGAGGATAGGACAAGAAGCAATGGGCTTAAACTGCAGCAAGGGAGGTTTAGGTTGAACATCAGGAAAAACTTCCTCCCTGTCAGGGTGGTGAAGCACAGGAATAAATTGCCTGGGGAGGTTGTGGAGTCTCCATCCCTGGAGATATTTAAGAGCAGGTTGGACAGACATCTCTCAGGGATGATCATGCCGTCGCCCCCCTCCAGGCCGCCCTCCCCACTCCTGGGACCCAGCCGGCTCTTGCGCTGCCTGCGCTTGTGCAGCGGGGACATGGACAGGTTGCGCAGCACGGCCATGCCCGTCTCTGTCAGCCAGACGCCTTCGAAGCGGAAATACTGGGGCTCTGCAGGGGAGGCAACGGGGCCAGACGGCCGTTACAGAAAGCAGGCTCTCCGCTGTGAGGCCGCAGGGGGCCTGGGTTCTATTCCCGGCTCTGGGGAACCTTGGGCCAGTCCGATCCCACTCGGGCCGGGTGCAATTCAAGGCGAGGAAATCCCACAACGCTCCCCATCCCCAGGAGCCAGGAACAGAACCAGAGTCCTGGCTCCCTGCCCTAACCATTAGGCATCACTCTTCTCTGGGCGTCAGGAAGGAGACAGCCCCAGTGAGCCTGGCTCGTTCCATCCATCCCAAGCATTGACAGGACTTGGGGCTGCTGGGCAGCTGGGAGAGGGCAGATCCTCCCCCTCACCCCACCCTGGGCTGAGGGCCGGTTCAGCCAGAGCCCCTTGGGGTTAGGGTGTGGGGCTCTTGCCACGCCGATGGGGCAGCGAGTGTCACCTCCCCCACGTGCTTACCCGGCTCCTTCATCTTCACCGGGATGATCTCCGGGGGGGCAACCGGAACTGGGGAGGGAAACAGGCAGCAGCAAGTCCCCAGAGC